AAAGGTTCCAAAAGTGGTCCTGGGGGCGAATCCCACAAAAATGTTGACAATTCAGGGGTTTCAAAGGCTTATTTAATCGATTTTAGAGTCTACTAATATGTAAAAAAATACACATAATTTTTTTTCGCCCCGACGAATTGTGCTGTTTTTCCACGACAGGGCTCTCCCCGACGGGGAAAGACATGATATCTCAAAACTCATATTAAAACTCAAAACCAACTGGAATACAACAACCTAAAAGTGAAGTTATAAAGACATATTAACATATCATTGATAAACTACAGTAGTAGTTAGGAGCTGTTTTAAATCCTGAGAAAAAAAATATCAGGACTTGAACATAGGACTTCAGTATTTAAAAGCGAGGACATTGACTACAGCTTTTTTTAAACAATGGTCATACCTTCTCTGAAAATACCTTCTCGCAAATAAGATAGAACTTGTTCATAATCTCAAACAAGAATTCCTTTGACACCCCAACATCCTTCCACAAACGATCTGCTAATCGTTCCTCCAAGATTCCTTCTTCTTTCAACCTCCACCATGACTTTATATAGACTGCATGCTAACAATAAATCAAAATGTAAAAACATATATTTGATTTGCAGTGACTAGTAATGATTGCCAAATTAAACTAAATTTACCAAATGCACACAGTGTACAATTAGAAGCACCAAAATACAACCTTTTCATTTCATTTTTGAGCATACACATAGTTACCAACCATCTCGCATTGTGCAGGATGGTCCCGCATTTCAAAGTGATTTTGGATGAAACATGCATTTTGCAGAAACACATCGTGATCATAATGTATTTAAAATTGGAAGAAATTGGTCATGCAGTAACTTGAGTCATTAAACAGTATTTTCATGAATACAATTCTTCACCGACAAGTTATTAAAAATTGATCAGTATGCCAATACAAATGATAACAACAAATCAAATAACAATCAAATAATAATTACATAAAGAAACCACAAAAAAATGAAAATGTGAAAGTAAATGCAGAAACTGATGCGGAAAATCAATGGGAAAAAAAGAAAAGATTTGAGGTGGGATTTAAAAAGTTGACAGTCAGAAATTGATCTAGAGCAGTCGGGAGAGTTCCAAAGTTTCGCAGCAAGAAAATAAAATGACTAGTTGGCCGGTTTTGACATGCTTGAAACGAGGAAGAACAAGATAAGGAGCAGCAGATTGACAGGTAGTGCAGGTGGAGTGAGTAAAGGTGATGTTAGAGACAAGATAGTCAGGGGCAAAACCGTAAATGCAATTGTGGACAATAAGTATGATTTTATAGGAAGATCCGTATAGAATGGGTAACCAGTGAAGAACTTTAAGGATTGGAGTGATGTGAGAATGGACTTTGGTACGAGTAAACATACAAGCAGTAGAGTAGAGTACTGTAGTTTTTTAATGGGTCGGATGTGTGAGACAGGCAGGCCATGAAGTAGAGAATTGCAAAAGTCCAGTCTGGAAGTTACAAGGAAGTATTTTATAAACTTTAGTGACGACCCACATTCGGTTGTGAATTTCAGGGTCTTTGAAGTTGCTAAAAGATCCTACACCTCTAATAACTAGAATAATGGATCTAAATGACTAGCAGCAAACCAGCTGCAGCTAGGTTAAACGCAAACTTACCGTGATATGCATGAACAGTTATAGCTACAAATGCACGTTGGGTCAGCTCATATAGTGCGCAATGGTTATGGTCTCCATATCACCCTCTCTATTACCATTGCAGCTATGTTCGAGTCTTCCAAATGTTGAGTTAGTTTTTGTTTTATTTTTTCCACTTTTGGCATTAGCAGAAATAGCCATTGTTTTTGTTCTAATTTATTTTTCACCTTCTATCCCGTCTTCTCCCATATTTTTTCTGACCGTCACTTTCAGTGCTGAACCTTCTTCAAACATCATCAAGGATGTGCATATCAAAATATGATGTGATTCTACATATTCTGAATGTTACTAGCAGTCATTGTTCGAGTTTCCCTGACGCTGAGTTGGTTTTCAAGTGTTTTAACTTCATAATTCTCCACTTAATTTTCGGTGTGTTATTTTGCGCTAGACTTCTTAAATGAGACTTTTTTTGTAATTTCAGCATCACTTTTTATTATGGCAATGAGAAAAAGCCCTAAGTTCTGTTTTACAAACAGACATAGTAAGTCTAGTTATTAATGTTATAAAAAACTTTTAATCTATAATAACACACTTTTGTATAAAAGGATTTCTTTTTAAGACTACTTTAATATAAAATTAGTTAAACTTACTTGCTCTTCACAATTTATGTGTGTTATGATAGTTCTAAACAAGTCAACCAGCCATTGTGGATCTAGAATGATATTTTCTTTCAAAAGTTTTCCGTCAGGATCTTCCTCTCTCCCAAAATAAACAACCTCTCCGATATCTTGAAAGAAGTTCAAAACAATGTGGATACTTCCCTTGATTTTGCATTCCTCAGCCAAAGCCTTCACCTTAAAAAATATTGTTATATTTATTATATATATACAGTAGATATTTCATAGCTTAACAATTATCAACATAATTCATTCATTTCATCTTTATGTTTTAATTTTATATCCATATAGAAAGAAAAAACATTCAATTAATAATTTAGGGGGAAATACTGTATATATATATATATATATATTTCATTTGTGTTCCACGTGTGTTCCGACCGAATAATAGAAAATAATGAAACAACTTCAGTAGTAGACTTTAAGAACACTGATTTATTATAAACTCGGATATTTCTGCCACTCCTGTGGCCTTCATCAGCGAGAATGAGGAAAACATCATGAATCAATATAATATAGGCTGTCTTATCAAAAAAGAATAAAGGTGACAGAGAGTAAATGAGTAATACTTATAAAACTGTACAATGATTGGTCTATTTATCTATGCATACTGAGTATCTACAATAATAAAG